CTAAGCGAGGCAGAAATTTCCGAAGCCGAGCGCGGTCCTCGGCGCCAGCGGGCGTGCGGTGATGCGCAGCGGGTGGGTGGAGGGGGAAAGAGCTGAAATACCCCAAGGGGCTCGTTTGAGCTGCTGCTCCGCACTGCGATGCTTTGCCTTGAGGGAAGTGGGTATTTGTTTTGAATAACAGATGAGAGCACTCGGGTTTGTGTTGTTAGTACTTGAAGCGCATAGTTTTGCTTCTTGAAAATTTGTCCTGTTCGCTAACTCTAGGGAAAAAAAAAATAAAAAAAAAAAATCCACATGCTTAAAAGAAAACGAAGAACACACAATTTCATAACTTCCAGGCTGACACTCATCACGAGAACAATTTTACTCTGGTTACCAGTGGGTGAAATCTCTGCCATCTGAATCCGATAGAGCAAAACTGATACGCTGAAGTTGAAGCAGGAGTTGAGGCACTGATGCAGAAAACCAGGAATATGATTGTAATGACTTTCTTCTCACTTGCATCTGTGAATCTTGAACACGTACATTTAAGTCTGTTCATATATTGCAGCAGCACCTTTTGAAAAGTGCTTTTACTCAATGTAGTTTTTTTCTAGCTGGCAGGTTAATGTTACCTCATCAGATTCCCAGCCTCGTGCTCCATGTGTGAATTTGCTAATGAACACTGACTCTTGCCACTGACTTTTGTATGTCTGCGGAAGATTATCGAAGCGTATTAGTTTTGACCTTAGGTGCTGATTCAGTATCTCCCATATCTTTCTCTCCCATCTTTCATTAACATCAAAAGGAATTAAGATATGCAAAATTGCAAATTTTATGTGGAAACAGAGAAATAAGAGATAAAGACAAATTCTTACAATCTTTTACGGATACAATTTTTAAGAGAAAAAGAAACATCTGAAATAGAGCAATACTTAACAAGGGCACTACACAGGATAAAGAAGTAGCAAGAACAGTGTATTTGTACATTTGTCCAGACAGTGCAAAAGAACAAAGTGTTTCTAGAGTTTTAACAAACTAATACATAATTGCATGTTAACAACCATTCTAATAAAAAAATTGCAGTTTATATTTCTTTCTAACAAAGGTTTAAGGGTCTGAAATGACAGATTAGTACCCAATCTTGCTGAAAGTCCGAACTGGTAATGCTGCCTTTATTATAGAAAGTGTTTTCCATGTCCTGGTGATTTGCAATACTCAATACAAGGTCTTTCCTGACATCCAAAGTCAAAGCCACTGACAACTAAATAAGTCAATCTGCAGAAATTGAAATCCAAATAAAAACTTACATAAGAAAAATATTTGTAGTCTTTACTTCTGAGTGTAGTCCAAGATTCCTTCTCTCTGCAACTCTTATGTTACAGAATGAGGTGCAGAAATTAGAATTTTTTAGTTAGATGTGTGATAACTTCTCAGGTGAGGACTAGGACAGAGCTGTTGCTGTCACTAATCGTGCGCCAGGTGGATATAAACTCACTGTCACCTTCCACTTCACTGTTTTCACTTCACAGGGCAGCTTTACTGTGAAGGACTGCCCGTGATAGTCCAGTAATTCCTTGTTTCCACAGTGGTGGGAGACAACCTCAAATTACTGTGCTCAGATTTAAGATCCGTTATAAAATCTAAGTAACACTTGTGGGGGCAGATTTTGGAGCTCCAGCAGGTTGGATTCCTGGACTTAAAGTAGAAGGGATCAAGGAGAGGAGTCGTTCCTACCATGTGGGGACGCCTGAGTAACTCTATGTGAGTTTGAAATGCCATCATGAAGTGCTGGAATGAGCCACGCCGAGTGACTGGGTAGCAGTAGGCACCGTGTGTCAGAGTTGTTAAGGGGCTGATACTGAAGTACGTGCCACCCGAGGCAAACAGAGAGCTGTCACGACCCAGGCGAATCACATGCCGTTACAGCATAACAAGCCTGACCAAAGATCAGTATTTCTTGGTACCCCATTTCCAAAGTTAGCCAGTACCTATGATTAGGGAAGAGTATGAGAACAAGAGAGATGTTAAATATTTATCCAAATGTGTATATTCATATTTCTCCCGATGTTTATACGCTCTCTGAATCTGCCTCTGAGTATTTCTCAGACCCCTCTGCTTTTCCACTCGGGCTCTTCCTTAGCCAGAGCTCATGTCACTGTACAGAATGCTTGCTATGGCTTTGTGTGGAATGAAAGGACTGAGTAATAATTTCCGATATCATCAGACAAGAAGTTAAGCTAAAATTATTGTATTTTTTTGTAATTTTATTTTTAACTCTCAAAACAGCCATCCATCTATAGCTCTGGTTATGCCTATAAGTCTATATTAATGAATTTTTATACTTTGTGGATTGAAACCTGAAGTTTTCAAGGCACCTCACTACTAGCATGGTGTTTGGAAGAATGTGGCATAGCTCCGCATTAAGGATGGAACATACACCACACTATTTTGAAAATCTTTATTATATAAACATGGATTAATTATATAGAAGGAATTGCACATGCTTGGGTTATTGTACTGAGTCTAGGCTGGGTGGTGGGTGTCAACCCACCACAGTTTAGAAGTTTGTTTTTTTTTAGTCTCAATTTCCGTTCGGGGTCTGAATTTCAGTTTTGTATCAAATTCCAGTTTGATTAAAAGATGCTGTTACTTTCTTTCCTTTACATTGGAAGGGTTATCAGTTGGTAGCATTGTTCAGCTTCCTTAAACAAATATTAAAAGATTAGCCAACACCATCGAACATGCTAGTTAAACATACCTACCTCTAGAAGTCAGGAGCATAGAGCACCCATCTCTCGGCACTTTGGAGTCTGATTTTCAAAGATAACTCCTCAACACTTTTGAAAACTGAATCGTAATGGTGACTTCAGCTGGACAATCACAAACAGAAGCACTCAAATCACTAGTCAGTTCTGAAAATTGTGAGTTGAGGGGCCAGAAAAAATGTAGAAATGATGTGCATAAGTTCTGGTCCTTATACAAACCTGCGACTCAAAAGAGTGGCTTCAGTGCTGAGTTCATCACGTGTTTTCAGATAACAGTAATTCACAGTAAAGATGCATGAGGGTTTAATAATAAAAATACAGTCACTGCTAGTGAAAAGTCTGACTGACCCGTGGTTTTGGGGAGTCCCCTTAATTCAAGTCAGGCCTCTGAAGGTAAACAAGTCATTCTCTATCCTTTCCCAAGTAAAAGAGATGAAAGAGCGTAATGTTTACATAACATTATATAATATTTATGGCTAAAGATATTTTTAATAATCTCCTAAGAACACTGAGAAGTGAAGAAGCAAAGATATTCTGTGAAGAAAATATTCTACTAAATTATTTGCGGTGGATGGATATTTTTAGAATTCTAATTTGAAATGTATCCATTCTCTTTCTTTTGTAGGTGGCTGGTGTTAGGTATTGCCATGGTGCGGTTTTATATACAGAAAGGAACACATAGAGGCTTATTCAGAAGCGTTCAAAAGACGCTTAAATTTTTCCAGACATTTGCTTTGCTTGAGGTAAATTTTAAACATTAGTTTGCTTTACTGGATGCTGCATATTGTAGGCAAAACACATTATTAACCTGCATTTAATATCAAAATATTATATCAGTACTCAAAGTCCTTTTAACCTTATTATTTAAATAAGGGTTTTTGCGGGGCAAGGTGACTAGTTGAAACAAATCGGTACATTCTTTCAAAGTTAATTCTAATATTTCTTTAAAGCACATGCTGCCTGGGAACTGCTTTGATTTGAGAGTCTTTAACTCAAAAGTCAAAAATCTCTGAATGCATTCCAGCTAGCAGATCAACCCTCTAGCTTAGTAGATATCTCCATCTCCAGAGATGATGGCTTTCCTCTTACTTCATGTACTGGACTCATTATCCTTCTGTGCCTTTCCTGCTTCTGCTTATTTCCAGGCTGGATTTAGATGCCTCATATAATCTGTTACAACATGATCTGTGCAGGTCATGCAAAGTATTCTTTAAATAATACGACTGTGGTCAACTACGTACTCGTGGTCTCAGTTTACAGTACATCTCTGGAATGAAACTGTTGGGTGTATTGAGCACTTACAGTTCTTTCCCAGGCACAACAAAGAGTGCCTATCTACTTTTTGACTTATTTTCTCAGTCTGCCTACACCATCTGTAGTTCAAGCAACTATTAAAATCATGTGGCTGGCTGTATATAGGCTTTTATGTTATTAAACTTTCACAATAAATAATTCTACTCAAATCTTTCAAAATAATGAAAGCACTGTATTTGCTAAATATTACTGACCGGAAAATACAATAAATCTGAAGCTTTATAGCTGTCATTGGCAAAATTATAGTAAAGTTATTAATCTGTAATGAATACAGAACATTTTAAAATCGCTGTGTGTTTAGCATCCCTTATATAACTCCATACCGTCCTGTAAAATTCTTCTTTGAATAAGATAATGGAAGGGAGGCTTGGTAGTTGAAAAAATCAATGCTTTGAAAGTATTTAAATATGTAATATATACCATTAATTAGGAAAATAAATCTCTTTCATATATTTGCACAGATCAGATACTGAGCCCATCACAGCATTGATTGCCAGGGCTCTAACATACATTCTTTTAGAGATTGTTAGCTGGAGACAAAAACACGGTTCTCCTTCAGAATTAAGCCTAGGTTTATATTAATATGAAAAGGCCATGTTTATAGTGTAGATAGTAACATACTGTACGTCAGTAACGTCTAACTTATTTTTATTTACAGGTAGTCCACTGTGCAGTTGGTGAGTTCTTTGTTTTAGTTTCTCCTGTAACTAATTAAAACATGAATTGTGGAACAGAGATAACATGTTTCTCTTTTTAAGGGATAGTTCGCACATCTGTGCTTGTGACTGGGGTCCAAGTGAGTTCGAGAATCTTCATGGTGTGGTTCATTGCACATAGTATAAAACAGGTATGTGCGTGAGCAAGTCGTGTTTCGATTGTTTTTAAGGAGAAGCTAGTCATACAGTTCTCATTTCATGAGGGAGACCAGTTCAACAATAAATGACATTCCTACAGAGAACACTGACGTACTTGAGTGCGATTTTGGAGGTTGGGGTTACAGGATGGAATTTATGTGCTTCTCCTCAGGAAACTGAGTCTGGATCTTAGCCGTGAATCAGCACAGTCTTCAGCATTGTGCTAACTGTGGTCTGCCTAAGTGAGAGTGATGACTACTGCTATTATTTAACAGCAGATCGACCACAGTGTTAACCGATTCCCTTTCAGAAACTTTAATGAGTACTCACTGAATTAATCTAGATGAAAATACAGCTTAAATCAAATTTACCTGGGTAAACAATGTTGTCATTTTGCGATTTATTTTACGAACTTTGTCAAGATTTTAATGTTATGGTAATAGTAACATTTGATGGCATGCATCCTGCATTTTTTCATTAAAAATATATCAAGTCATCCAGCGTGCCACAGTGACACTTAAGGTCCTGTATAAATGACGATCGTTGATTTGCCTGGCTGCAGGCGGCGATTGTAACTTTAGCAGAATGAAACAAGCAGACTGCTTACAGCGAGTAGGTAGGACATTCAGTTCAGTTTCTGAGGTCTGCTTTCTGTGAAGGGCATGTAAGAATTAAGTGACAGATTTTGAGTCTGTGCTCCTGAATTTCTTTAAGCTTAAAAACTGAGCCGTTAAACTGTCTCACCAGCAGATGGCATAGGCCTTTCTGCTGCTGGGGTATCATAGCACCTGCCTCAGTTGTCAAATCCCTTTGTTTCAGTTCACGAAGGGCTCGTTTTCTACACTTCATCTTTTCTTTTACTGTTGCTTTTCTTAACATGGAATAGGCTGGTTTTTTTTGGTTTGTTGGGTTTTGGGTTTTTTTTTGGTAAGCTAAGTGTTTTCATTTTTCCCTGAAGGGAAAATGTCTCAAAGGCTAACAAGTTTTATATTGAATGTTTACATGAATGCTGGAATATAGCACTGCGTTTTGCTGTTTTGTTGTTATCTGCAGTGGATTAAATCTTCAGCATATCCAGTCATTTTTTTTGATCTCCTCTATCTACAGTAGTTCAAGCTGTGTCCAAGAAAAAATACATCTGAATGTATGTCTGATTGTATTTCACACTGCTATTGCTTAGCAGGCATGAATGTTCAGGGTCACTTTAGGTGGTGAGAGGCTTGTTAGTGATAATAGCCAGACCCAGATCTCTCTACTTGACTGGAGATTTGCAAGGCAACAGATAGAAATTCTCTGCATACTTATTTAAAGCTCTTCTGCTTGAATTTAGCACTGGGACATGAATCCAAGTTTGGGTTATCAATGTTTGTCTCTAATCGCATGACACTGAGAGCAGCCTAAATCTGTCTTTCCCTTTGCTTCTTTGGATGTCCTTGCACTTCAGTTGTTGCTATTTGTTTGTGAGTTTGGCGATATTTTTATATCTCCTTTTCTTTTGTGATATTGGTGAGATCCTTTCACTAAAATTGCTCCTTTGACTGACACATTGAGGGCGCAATTTTATGAGATGATGAACACTTACAATTCTTCTTTACTTTCGACAGTTAGGCATTTTCAGCATCTTTGAGATGTATTAAGCTTTGTCACCATGTTGCATTTTATTAAAAAAAATAATTTCCCTTTTTTGTAATTTTAATAAAACTTGTGTTACTTTATTTTATTTCACAGACATCCCTGGAGCTTTTCAGCCTTCAGAGATGGAAATGTATTACAAAATTCCTTCCCTTTTAAAGAAAAGAAAATTACTTGCGTGTAATTCTTCTTCTCAGAAGGTAGTGTTTGTAATAGATCCCCACGTGCCTTCTCTGTGTTTGGGGACTTTTGTTTTTTTGTTCACTTAGAGTGAAAAAGAACCGATGTTTTGAAACAGCAGATAGATGTGCTACCTACTGATGAGGCAGTTTAATGACTCAGAATTTAAGTCTTAAATGGGATTGTTGAGCGAGTTTACCCAAAGCTCCTAATCTACCAAACACTCTTCATTTAGTGGTCCGTCTGTGTTCCAGCTCCTTAACTATCTTACAGCTCCCTGAAGTCTGCCAAATTTGACCTTCTGTGACTAAGTTCCAATTAGTAGATGATACTAAGCAATTCCTTTTGTCTAAAGTTTCATGGAGATGTGCATTATATGGTGAGGAAGAAGCAAGATAAAAAGTAAGAGGAAGTCTGGGAGACAGAGTAGTGAAATGCAGAATGGGTAAAAACTGATTTTGAAAGGAACATATCTCCTGTAGTGTTGTTTTCTTCTTGCTGTTTTGAGGACTAAGAAAATAAACAAGTAAATCAACCTCAAAGAGAAAGACAATTAGCACAGTGAAAATGCAGATAGAGAGTAAAGTGGAGGAATAAGCTCAATTTGGGTGTTTATATTTTGGTATTTGCATAGTGGATAAAGATTGCTCAGTTTGCAAAATGTCTGTGTGTTAGTAAATACGTATGATAAAGAACTGTACATGCTAATGGTTTCAGCATATCACTTTTATGCCAAAATTTTTTTTCTTTACAAGGTGTTAGTTCTGTTCTGTATATCTTAAACAGAAGTCTGTTGCAGTTTGCACAGAAAAGAAGCTTAAGGATGAAGAAAGTGTTGGTTCTTTATGCTTCTGCAGATCCAGAATGAGGAGAGCGTTATTCTTTTTCTGGTCGTATGGACTGTGACAGAGATTACTCGATATTCCTTCTACACATTCAACCTGCTCAACCATTTGCCATACTTCATTAAGTGGGCCAGGTGGAGATGTCTTGCACTTCAGTTTCTTATGGTTCTGTGCATGTTAGTTTCACGCATGCTGAGCTAACACACAGGAGAGCAGATGTTTCAGCTTTGGTTATGTGTCAGCAGAGTGCAAGCCGGGTGCTTTCTGTACTTGAGATCATTGTTACTTGGTTTAAAATGTTAAAAATGTTTTAGCTGAGATTTTGGAGTGTGATTTGTCCTTTGCTTTCTGTGTCTCACAGTTTGAGCTCTGCTTTAATTTACTTTATTTTTTTTTCTTTATCTTTGGAGTCATCTTTCAACTTACAGTATGACTCCTTAAGATGCTTTCGAATACAATGCCTGAAATTAATGTTCAAAGACATTTCAGGTCTTTGAAAATGTGGGAGTTGTTGTCACTCAATCCGTATGCTTGTTATCGCTTCATGAGAAGTTCTGCTTTATCAGAGCTTTTGTAAGGTTATATTCATGTAGTGAAGCTAAATATTGACTTAGTTAAGCCCACATAAAAAGAGTGTTCCATATCAAAACTGCTTTGATTTTGAAGCATAGTTAAGGTTGCCCACTAGATCAGATACATTACAGAGACTGCATGTTTACCAGGAGACTTAACTGGAAGAGTAGTATTCTCTGTAGTCATTATTTGAAAAATGCATTTAAGACAGACAGACTTACACTGTTAGAAGGAAAATATCTTACCGACATTCAGCATAGGCAACTCTTATTTCAGAGTCCATTCATTTATTTTCCTTTTATTTTACAGATAATGCAGTTCTGATGCTTCTAATGCACTTCTTTGATATGTCTGATGTTTATGTCCACTCTTATAATACTTTATCTTTTTGCTAATACCTAAGGTAGTAGGCTTGGTTATGTTTAAGCACTAAATGGCAAACTTAAAAATAATCAGATCTGGTTTAATTTTTTATGTAGGCTTCAGAAAGAGAAGTGCATTCAGAAAGTACTACATTGACAGATACAGTGACTTGGTGGCAAAAAGTGTATCTTGAATGATAATTTTTGTTTCCTTATAACAGACAATAGGGGAAACTGACATTCTCACAGCAGAGATATATGGCGAAATATGCTATAAACAAAACATTTGGAAACGTATTATCTTTTCATAGAGTCCAAAATATCCCGTCAAGATTTATGGATAATCAAACAGCACAACTGGGCATAAATTCAGTACTCCAACAGAGCTGGAAATTTCTGATCTTTAGCTTATAATGGTAAAATATTTGCCTGTCCATTGTTAATTGCATAGGTATGCTCCAGATTTTAGTTCAGAATTTTTACTTGGGTTTTTTTCACCACATAGAGACAAACTGTATTTAGGTCATGGCCTCAGTTCCTTCTCATACCTCCTATAATCTGTTCTCTGACCTGTGAATCCTCTAAGCCTATTTTCTCCTAGGAGGGTTTCATGTTTGATTGCTGCTGTTTGGAATCTCATCTCTTTTGGTCGCAGAGTGCACACTGTACCTTTCTCTCTGTATGACAGCTCTCATTGATGTTCCCTGCATGAACTCAAGAGCTGTTCCTTAGGAGAAACTGCATCTCCATGGTGCACTATGCATTAAGGACAGCACAAACCCTGTTGATTACCTTTTTCATTTTGTCACCGCTTATGTTGCCTATGGCATTCAAACCACATTTTCTTTAAACTGAATACCTTCGCTTTTTATTTGAACATCTTGCCATTTTAAAGTGGATCTAAAAAGTTTCTGGCACTGTCATTTTCTTTTATTTTTAATTGACCCACTGTGCGTGCTCTGTGTCAAAGGTATGTAGGATCATCTGAATTTGGGATCCTGTCCTGGTCTGAATCCTATTAGTGACAACAGCAGCAAGATGAGTAAATTTAAAAGAAGACATTACTAGAGACTACAAATTTGAAGATTTTTTCACTCTTTGGTATTAGAAAGACATACAAACATTCTGATACTTCATTGTTTTTAAACAAAAGGACTGAGGAATGCATTCTCTGTAAACCAAAGTAACACTATCCAAAGTAACTGAAACTGGTTTTCTGTGCCAAGTCAGGATGCGGTCCTTGATTTTGGTGCAGGAACTTCTGTAATACATTGCTGTGCCACTAATAATAGCAAGAGGAAATTTTAAATTCATGAGGTGTTTCTCACAAGAGTGTTTTGTTTGTTTTTTGTTTTTTTTTTTTTAAATGCAGATACAACTTTTTTATCATTTTGTATCCTGCTGGAGTTGCAGGTGAACTGCTAACCATATATGCTGCTTTACCCTACGTGAAGAAAACAGGAATGTTTTCGCTGAGACTTCCCAACAAATATAACGTCTCCTTTGACTACTATTACTTCCTTATTATTGTCATGTTCTCCTATGTGCCATGTAAGTATTACTTAACTGTAGTAAGGCTAACAAAATCATAATCAATTATCAGCAATGCTGGGAACACTGCCTGTAGTTAAATTTGCTGAACACTTTCTACTATAAAAGCCTGCTTTCTGTTGTTCCAAGCTTTACTGTTCTTTAATTGGTTAGACTGAAATTTTATGTTCTGTTATCTGCCTCAGAACATACGCTGTCTTAAAAATTTCAGTGAAAATGCTAAAAACATTTCTAAGACTTAGACTAAGTAAAAAACCTTTTTGCTTACACACAGAAATGTCTGTAATTGTGTTGCTGAGAATTTCTAGTGCCTCTGCCACTTTGAAGCAATGGCTTAACAATTGTCCTGCAAGTTGTGCCAGAGATTTGCCTTGGTTTTGTTGCTATTTATATCCATTTATGTGTCACCTCTGAAAATCACTGTTTGAGCATGCTTGGGAAAAACTTGAAGAAATATTCTCCAATATTTCATTTGCACAGAAATCGACCGCCTAAACCTCTCTGAACATACTTCAATCCCTGGTTTAATCAGATTGTCCTTGTACTTCCAGATACCAGAAGCCACAGATCAATTGGCTGACCAGAGCTAACATTAGAGAGGCTATCTGTCTTTCACTTCCACTGGTACCTAAGCAGTGTAGACAAGGCCGATTCGTATATAGCACCGTGAATGTGGCTAGACCAAACTAGGCAAACAGAATAGTTTACATAGTCTGGACAGTGCGGCTAGAAACAAGGCAAGAGATTAGGGAGAGGCATTGAGAAGCAGGAAAATTAAAGTTAAAAAGATCTGTGATCTGTATCCATAAAAGATATTCCTTTAAGAATCATAGAATGTTAGGTATTGGAAGGGACCTCAAAGGATCATCTAGTCCAATCCCCCTGCCTGAGCAGGACCACCTAGATAGATCACAAAGTAGTTGACCTTAAGCATGGACTTTCACAGTATGCACACGCACACGGTGAATTTTTTTTCAAGAAATCATGGAGGCCAATGAGAGAGATTTATATGAGTAAAAAATGTCCTAAGCTATCATAACTCACTAACAGTTTCACAGTTGTTTATATAACTTAATGTTTCAGGAATAAATCGAATTTTCTATCCATTAAATGTAAGGATCAAATGTATCAGCAGGACAGTAACAGATCTCAGAGGGCCAGGAGAGAGGGAGCTCCTCACTTCAGACTAGAACAAGTAGGGTATGTTTATATCCTTCTCAAAGTCTTAATTCAAACATGCTTAACTTAGCACAGTTTCAAAGACTTCAGGCACTGCTGGAAAGTGGTTAAGTCCTGTTTATACAAAGAAAGTGTTGAAGGGAAGTTCCTTGAACACAGGGTATATGTTCAGGGGGCCTTGCCTGACTTGTGAGTAATTATTGTTTTGTAATTCACTGCAGTGTTCATGGCTTGCTATTATTTACCTCAACCAACTGTAGCACTGTGTGCAATAATTTTCCTCAGTTCATCATTCTGCAAAATTGTATTTTTCTGTTATGTAATCTGTTGCACTTTTTTAATCTAATTTGCTTTCTTTTATGCTTTGATCAAGTATTTCCACAACTTTACTTCCACATGCTGCGGCAGAGAAGAAGAGTACTTCATGGAGAAGTGATTGTGGAAAAGGACGACTGAATCAAGCCGTGTAACTATGGTGCTTTTAATGGAAAAAAAGAGGGTAAAAAACCAAAACTTCCTGTGATTTTTCTGAGTCCAAGTTTTAAAACATGGAACAAGAATAAACAACTGTGCATAAAATAGCATGGACTGTATTATTTTTACAATTAATATATCTTTAGACTTACCTTTTCATCCTCGGTTTCACTTTGAGTTTTGATTGTTCATTTCTTCAGACAAATTATTTTCTTATTTTTAATAGGCTGACAAATAGCTTTAAGAATCAGAATAGTTGGCTACTGTGCTTTCTGTTCTGAAAGTTCTGTTTTGACCTGTAGTCATCATCAAGAACAGAAGGAGATATGATAAGTTGTGCTGAAAGTGAGTCTTCTGGAAAACAGAGTGTAAATTAGGTAATGATGTTTTTCATAGACTAAGTGGCTTAAATGTTATTTAAGCTTTATATTAAATAATACCTTTCCAGTTATAAGTACTGTTAGCATGTTGTTCAACATTCTTTGAATTACAGGATCACCCTGTAGAATTCCAGAAGAACTTTTGAAAGGAGCTGAATTCTTCATTGTCAGTGCAAATTTAGGTCTCTCTGTATTTTCATTTGTAATTTTAAAGATCTGTAGAATAACAGATGTAATATTAACTGGTTAAAAGTTTTTGCTGAGGAATAGACTTGATGTGCCTACCTTTCTCTTATCAGTGGCTGGAATGGGACTCGTTTGCTGGGGAAGACTGTCCGCATGTTTCTTATTCTACATTTAATTATGTATGCAGAAAAATTATGGTATTGCATTTAGAAACTGTAACTACAGTGAGATATTTAACTTCTTATAAATAGCTAAGTGGGATAAAATATTTGAAATAGCATCTTAAAATATAAATTGTGCTTTGAATCATCCCATTGTGCAATTTTAATTGCATCCCAATGTGCTTCCTCCCCATTGTTTATACTGTTGAGCTGATTCTATTTAATGTCTTCAATAATCTGCAAGAGAGATCTACAGTATATTAATAAAAGTTACAGATGATACTACACTGTATGATACCTAAGTGGGAGAGGTCCAACAGATGGATTAAATGTAGACAAGAACTAGACGCAGCCTGAGAGATTCAGAGAAAAGGTAATGCATTTGAGGAAACTTGGATACTTGGTGAGAGTGAGAGTAGATTGAAATGTAATAATGTAGTAAGAAGCCTTGGTAATGTAGGCAACAGAGTTGCTTCTGGCATCACTGAAAGAAGAGTATATATGCAGAAAAGCTGCATCAGGCAGCTGGAAATCAGAGTATGTGTGACTGCTAAGGTCGTTTCTGGAGTACAGTCTTATACTTTGGGTACCTCAAGGGTGAGGAATTGAGTTAATCTTCCAAAAAGAGAACAGTAACTAAATTCTTTGAAGATTGTGTCATTAAGTATGTATAATTTTTTATTATGTGACAAATGCATGCAAAGGAAGAGGCTTTCTAAGTGTGAAGGTGTAAGTACAACTGATTATGTAAATTTGAAACAAGGTAAATATCCTCTGAATATCAGGAGAAAGATCCTACCAATGAGGTCAGTTAGGTTATGGAATGACACAGTAGTACTTCTCAATGCATACAAGTTCTTGGTAGGTTTTAAGTTAGATGTAATTCAATAGTGGAAAATAATCTTCCTTTGGCAAGAGTTTGAAAGGCATACTTGAATAGGCAGTTTTCATTTTTAGCTTCAGCAATTCTATGATAATACAGCTTTTTGAAAATTGTAGATGCACCTTTTTCTAGTATGTCAGGTAATTTGATAAAAAAGCAAGGATTTACTACATCCCTAACTTTCAAGTTCCATTTTGTGCCTTAAATTTGTGATATTTACGCATGTCTTCATTACATGTAAATTAGTTTCCTATTAAATGACAAGTGCATAGTGGATTTGAGATAGAATAGTTGTATTTCTTAGAATTTTAAAAGGTGTAATCTTTGTACTTTTTTGAACAAATTTCACGCAAGGTGCTATAATTTATTACTTCTCTGTTTTATATGTAGCTAAAATTACTAAAAGTTTAAAATAGAAACTACATTTACAGCACTGAATCACAAAATAGTTGTTGTACACATGTTCAGACTAGCAGCTGTATTTGTCCAAAGTTATTAGAGTACTGTTCTACAAACTTCACTTGCTTTTCGATCCATGAGGAACATCATGGCAGTTTTTAGAGATATTTCTCAGTTAGCAAGCAGAAGTGTGAGATGAAATATGAATAACTAAGATTAGATTAAGTTCTGTGTCTCCTTTTTTACTGTCAGGGCAGCTCACTGAAGACCACAGCTATCGATTCATTGAAAATGCATTGCATACTCTAAGGATGTGATTTTGAAATCCTTGATCAGATGAGTGTACCCCACATATACTATTCCTGTGCTATAATACTGTATTATATTTGTTTTCATTGTGGCTTAAGGATATTACCATATGTCAATCAAAGAGCTATTTTTATATCCTTTTTTACGTGTGACATGAAAGAAATACAGCACTGCTTGCTAAAATCTTGGGTTTGCACTTTCATAGAGCAGCAGTGTACAAGGTAATGATACAATTTTAAAAGTAATTTACAGCTACAGAAGAGTCTTGCTAAATGATAAATGAATAAAAGTAAAGCTAAAAATTACTTACAGTATTGCATTCAATATTTGATAGACCAGAGAGATTGCCACGTACATTAGTTTACATGGCATGTACTTTTAAAAAACCAAGCAACGTGTTCTTTTCTTCCTCTTCGTTTTTGATTGAAGCCTTTCACTGCAGCCTCAATGTGTACCTTTTGTTTTAATATCTTCTCAAAGGTAGTGAGAGTTGCCGGTAAAATCCTCTTACCATTGACTACAGATGGGCCAGGATTTTATCCTAGGTAGCTTACTTAAACTTCAGTATAACATTGTGAAACACTTAATTAACTTGCTAAATGGACATAAGAATTTAAGTATGATTTTCATATGGTGCTCTCTTTCCAGCTTCTTTTTGACACCTGTCTTTTTGTCTTCCTCTCTGCAATATTCCTAGATTTCTAAAGCATTGAAATCCTCCTGTTTATGAAAGATTAGGAATGTATTCAAACATCAGCGTCTTTCATGTTTTGATGTAGTCTTTATCAAATTGTTCATATAAAGGTGTTTTCTTACTTACGCTATATGTGCCTTCTGGAATGGATTAATATAGAGTTTGAAGCTTTTTTAATGACAATACATAGGAATAGGCGTTTGGAAGGAGTTTCCTGTTCATCAGATGACATTTCCTATTATTGGTAGTAACATGAACACACAGTCCTTTTTATAAACTCTAGCTGAAAGCAATTGGATTTCTTGAGGTTTTCCCCAATACTCATACACTGTTCCCACTGGGAAAGGCTGTTCCAGGACAGACTGAGTGAATCACCTTGTTTCACAGCTCTGCCTGGAATGTCTAGAGGCCAGATCCTGGCTTCAGGGCATGGGCAGTACGAAGGAATATGACGCTGAGAAGTTGCACCTTCCACGTTAGCTGCCAAGAGGGTCACTGAGGCCATTGTGAACAGTGGTTGATAGATGTAATTTCTCTCACCTCTTACTACGCAGGATGTGAGAAGAGAGGAAGCTCAATGTGCTTTCATACCTTCTGTGTAGGGAGCTCGTGAGCTCAGCTGGGAGGATCTCTGTGCACAAAAGGTGTATTACAGAAAGGGCTTTTCTGCTCCACTCAGCTATCTTATTACTATCTACGAGTCTGTGTTTCTTGAAATACTGATATGCCAAGATAGCTGTGCCACACTGCTCTCAGTAGTACAATTCAGAATTATCAGGCTTGGAGAAACGGTGCAGTGTGCTGCTTCTAATTCCCATTGAACATAACATTTAGCCAGAGTCATGTTAATGGACAGGTTGCAATGACTAGTTAACAGGGAGGCGCATGGAGACCTTTTCTGTGACCAGAGAGAGCCTACCTTTTCTTAGCCAGAAAGAAATATGTGCATTTTAAAAATCTAGGTCTAGCTGCTGCTCTGACTGTGGTACTTGCACTCTTCACAGTACCTTACTTTAGTGGATATTTGGACATTTATATGATTACGAAATAAACTAGAATGAAAACAAATTACAACCATGATGAAAATTATAATTTAAGGTGGTTGCTACATTAACAGTTTTTGTGAATTCAGCTCTTGCTTAATCTGACTTGGAAAAAAAAAGGAAGGAAAATTAATACAAATAAGTGTACTGCACTAGGCAGGAGGGCTTTATAAATCAAAATTTTCAGGCAGGCAAACTGGCCGACGTTGTTTATAAAGGATAGGTTAAATGCATTTTTGAACAAAAAGGTTGAAAGCTTTTCTGAAAATTAAATTTTATTTCACAATGTATGTTTTAAAAGGTGCTCAGAGGTACTGTATTAGTTATTACCAGTTTACAATTAAAATTCATGTCGAACATACACTTTTTACAGGTGATTAACTGTAGCCCATTAAAATGTTTTATTCTATGTTTGTTACAATGACTGTTTAAGAAACAAACACCTCATGTTTCTGCAAAGCTCTTGCTCCAGTGATTGCAGTCTTGCTAGTGCCTGCTGAGCTTTACAAGGCTGTTAAAGTGGCAGCTTAATATTTGCCAAGGATAGCTCCTTAAACTTGCTTTCATGACAGCACGCCTTAGGATTGGGTGGTGCTCTTGGTTTGGTGTCTAATACCATACGCCACTAATGTGTAAGGGTCTTGAGTGCCTTCAGTAGGACCGAAGGCTTTGCAGATGTCAGCAAGGGAGCTATCCTTATGAATTACCAGATGGAGAAGGTCTGTCTTGTGAACTCGTAGGTCACAAAGTCTGACAAGTGAACTTAAGGCTGTACAGAGACAAACTGTGGAGAACCTGGATGTTGGGTAACTCTGACCCTCTCATAGGAACTTGCTGTCAAGCTCAGGCCTGCAACTGGTAGTGGCTTTCGAGTTCTAAAATGTGCAATACTTTCTGTGTCATGTTGTATCAACTGAAACATGTCATCTTTTTATTCACAGCTCTCTTGCTTCTCTGTTCAGTCTTGAATGTATTTTATGTCCTTTCAGTTGATGGCTTTGTAAAAGTGTAAGTACAGAAATATTTAACGAAGCGTATAATGTATG